CCACCACCCAAATCAAAAATCAACACGTTCTTCTCACCCACGCTGGTCGCCTTCTTATCAAGACCATAAGCAATGGCAGCAGCGGTGGGCTCGTTGATAATACGCATCACATTCAGACCAGCAATAACACCAGCATCCTTAGTAGCCTGCCTTTGAGAGTCGTTGAAGTAAGCAGGGACTGTGACCACAGCATTCTTGATAGTGGTGCCAAGGTAAGCTTCAGCGATCTCACGCATCTTGATAAGAACCATTGAAGAAATTTCTTCAGCGGAAAATTGTTTCTCTTCACCTTTATAGTTTACTGAAATCATGGGCTTGTCGCCAGCACCAGGAGTAACCTTGAAGGGCCAGTGCTTAATATCACCCTGGACCGAAGCATCACTAAATCTCCTACCAATCAAACGTTTAGCATCTGCAAAATTTAAACAAACACCAATTAGTAATCACGACTATTTTATAAAACAAAAGAAACAAAATAAATAAATAAAAACTACATAAATTTAACAAAAAAATGAAAGCATTACATCAAATTACGTGACACATCTGCAAAAGATTTAAGCCATGCAACTACCATCTTAAGTCTTTTGATAAGCTATGAAAATTATATAATAAATTAACTTCATGCTTAAGATTCCAAAACAGGAAAATAAAATGGAGAAGATTTGATCAAATCAGAAACTGCTTCTCTTTTATTCCCTGACAAGTAGAAAGTTTATTTAATTGGAAAACTGAAACAAAAAGAATATCCTGATTTACACATAAGATAAAATACTTGCATAATGTCTGTGTATAAAGAGTATCTAGATTTGTTCCAATAAAACCAAGCCACCTCGTATCAAGAAAGGCATTACCAAGCAGATTTCTAAATCTAAAATCCAAAACTACATCCTAAAACAAAATCATTGATTAGAATTTGAACCCACAAGCAAAAACAAATCTTTGAACCCAGATCTCAAGGAGCAAAAAATTAAACACTTTGAATCCAGCTCTCAAGAAAAAAGAAAGAAACAGTACGTTGAATCCAGATCTTAAGAAAAAAAAGGTCGATAGAGAGAGAATACTAACCAAAAACGGTGTTGATTGGGTTCATGGCGACCTGGTTCTTAGCAGCATCGCCGATCAAACGCTCGGTGTCGGTAAAGGCAACATAAGACGGCGTCGTTCTGTTCCCTTGATCGTTGGCTATGATTTCCACTCTATCATGTTGCCACACACCGACACATGAGTAGGTGGTGCCTAGATCAATACCGATAGCCGGTCCTTCTCCTTTACCGGCCATTATGATTAGATCTAAAGGTAAAGCGGCTAAGAAATTAGAATAAAAAGAATAGGGCTTGTGTAACTAGAGATATTTAAAGTATTAGGTTACGAGGGTTAATGGGAGTATTTATAGTGGTTTGTTTTTATTGAGTTTGGTTCTAGAATGTTCGATGGAAGAGGTGTGTATATCTGGGCCGTTGGGTCTACAGTTCATTGGCGGTGTGGATTTGTTGATATTTCTCGCGTGGGAGCGTGTGTGGTCTTTGTTTGACCAAATACGCCGACGATTCTGCTTAATATCAAACGGCTTGTCGTGGAGGAAA